TTTGCGGGGGATGCAAGTGAAATAAATGAAGAATTATCAATCATTTGTTGCATAGATTCAGAACTCAGCATAAATGTTTTTCTTGCAGGAATATCATACCTCACTACTGCTGCAACTGCAGGATCTTGTTGCTATGTATAGAAAATTAAATTCTTGTATTTCCATTGTCCTCTCAGCCACCTTTTGGCCTTCCCTGTCCAAGCTGGATTTCAAAAAGGAAAAGACATTTGAATTCATATTGCAAATATACTTTGCCTACTGGAGTGCACCAGAGAATTTCAGAAGATCAGTCTGTACTTTACAGACCACAGTAAAGCCTTCGACAGGTTGGAATCTGAGCAGCACAGGGCCACAAGGATGGTGGCTGTATTGTAGGGAAAGCCATATGAGGCAAGACGGAGGGAACTGGGTGTTTTCAGCCTGGAGAAGAGGAGTCTCTGAGGGGATCTGTTGGTGACATATAGGTATGTGACGGGGTGTCACATGGAGGTGGGTAGAGACCTGTTTTCCCCTGCAGGATGAGGTCCAATGGAGCAAAGCTCAGGGGACCAAGGTTCATTTTGGATGCCGGGAAGTACTTCCTGACAGTTAGGACCCCAAGGGTATGGAATGGGCTTTCACAGGAGGTGGTTGAAGCCACATCAGTGAGGGTGTTCAAGGATAGGCTGGATATTCACATGGTAGGCATGTCATGACCGGAGCCAGCTGGAGCTGGGGGTCAGACTAGATGGCCTGGGAGCACCCTTCTTACTCACTCTGTTTCTGTTTCTATGACTCTGTGGATCATGGGAAGCTATGGATGGTCCTAAAAGAAATGGGTGTTGATCATCATACTTTACATTGTGAACAAGAAGCTACAGTTAGGACAGCATATGGAGAAATAGAATAGTTTCCTATAGATAAAGATATCAAACAACTGTGTATTTTATCTTCGTATCTGTTTAATCTCTATGCAGAACATATCGAAAGGAAATCTGGATTAGGTTCAAAGGAAGTAGGAGTGCAGATTGGTGTAAGATATATCAGTAACTTAAGATATGTAGATGATAACATATTACTGGCAGAAAGCAGCAATGAAAAGAAATTACTCCTGATGAAACTGAAACAAGGAAGTACAAAACGACTGCAGCTGACCGTTAAGAAAACAAAAATCATGACTGCTGAAAATTATACAACTTCAATGTCAACAGTGAAGAAGCTGAAATTATGCAAGATTTTGCATACCTCTGCTCAGTCATCAATTCAAAGGGAGACTGCAGCCAAGAAATTCAAAGAAGACTGAAACTGGGAAGGACAGCAGTGAAGGAACAGGAAAAAAATAATCAAGAGTAAGGATGTTTCACTGGAGTCCAAGGCATACTGTTGCATTCCTGATCACTATGGATGGGTAAGAAAGCTGATGTGTTTGAAACATGGTGCTGGAGGAGAGCATTGTGAATACCCTGGAAAGATGAACCGGTGGGTCCCAGATCAAATCAATGCAGGACTTGCCCTGGAAGCAAAAATGATGAAACTGAAGCTGTTGTACTTTGGGTACATCATGAGAAGACTAGTCTCATTAAAGAAGATAATACTGCTACGGAAAGTTGAAGGTAGAAGACCAAATATAAGATGGATCGATTTTATCAAGGAAGCCATAGCCTTGAGTTCACAAGAACTGAGCAAGGCTGACAAGGACTGGACAGCCTGGTGGGCATCCATTGGGTTAACATAAGTCAGAGGTGACTTGATGGCATGCAACAACAAACAAAAGTGCTTTTGTCCCTTCAGTGCATTAATGATGGGAGAAGTTGCAGTTGAAGGAACTTTCCTGTCAGTAAAACACTTAAAGGTGCAGGAGTGCCATATGACAATCCTGGGTGTATCCACACTGGAGATTGTTATTGATGGGGAACCTAGTGCCCTCCAGATATGCTGGAACTCCAACTGTAATCAGCCCCAGGCAGCAGAACTGTTTATTAGGAATGATGGGAACTCTAGTCCAACCACTGTCAATATATACCTAGGAAAGGTCTTGTAACAGTAAGCAAGCACCACTTTGCCTTTGGGACTTGATAGGCGATGGCTCCTACTGGAGCTTGAGGTGGTAGTGGAGCCAGCTTTACTCTCCACTTACCTTTTTCTGAAGGGGGAGTATCCCCTAGGGTCCTGGCAACCCTTATGATGGGACCTTGCATGCCAAACTAAGACCATGGGTCAGATTCCCCAACCCTTATGTATACCACAGAATGCTGAGCACATTGCTCCCTGATTCCCTGGCTGTCTACAAGAACCAAACTGAGCAGGTTGTTCTCAGCTATGAGACAGTACAGAAATGAAATAATACTGGCCCATGTCTCCTCTATGGAAAAGGAGGAAGAGGAAGGAGTGCAATCTTATTTGGGTGCAATACTATGAATACTCATACTTTAAAAAACGGCCTACAGCTTCTGGCGTGCCCCAGTCAGCATTGCTAGCTGGGGCATGCTGGGAATTGCAGGGCTTTCGTGCTGGCTTTTAGCACTTGTCAAGGGAGAAACTAATATAGCACTTATGCTGCTCCCTCAATATGTTAATGGAATGAAAGTCTTTTTTCCAAGAATCTTGGCCAGCAAAGGCCATGGCTGTGCTGGCAGTTTATTTATATTACATCATGGTTTATTGTTCATGGCCCAGTTTTCAGCAAAGACTAGAAGTTAATGGAATATCCTTGCTGAACAGATAGTCTTTTGTCCTGACATTGCAGACACCTCCATGTAGATTTGTAAACTATATAGTGCTTATCAAGTCTTCTGGGTTTTTCTTTGAGATGGAAAATACAGACCTGGAACCAAAACCACAGCCAGAGTTGATAGCAGCAGGTTATTATTGAGTGTCATCAACTGATATTTATGAACATGTGAAGTCACCATATATTTATAAATATCAGTCAATGGGTGTAGAACTTATGCAGAAAACCAGCTACTAGACAAGGAACATCTGTTCTCTCTAAATTGTATAAATCAGGTAGAGCCCTTCAACTGGACACTATTGCTTGGAGGGAATAGAACTCAATGTGGGGTGGTTAGAGTGTTGGACTGGAGACCTGAGAGATCCTGGTTCTAACCCCCACTTAGCCATGAAACTCACTGGGTGACTTTCGGCCAGTCATTTCCTCTCAGCCTAACCCACCCCTGTGAGGATAAAATGGAGCGATGTAAGTTGCTTTGGATTCCTCACATGAGGAAAAAAAGGCAGGATATAAATGCATTGTAATAATAGTATTTCTATTAAGAGGGGAAAATAGGTACACACCCTCTGTATGGCACTGATTTGAAATTGGGGATGATAGACACTGAATGGCCTATGTTGACTTCATCTGGAAGCACAGCACTGTGTCCTTATCGTCTGGCCCTGGTATTACTTGGTCTGCCTCAAGATCTGGTCTTTAGTGATTGAGAAACCACAGCATTCCTGCTTCCACACAACCCCTACAGAGCAATCCTATAGAGTAGATTGTCTGGATTTCCAGCTTCAACACTGGAAAATAGGTCCAAACTTGGAGCTGGGGATCTGTGCTTGGAGCGCCCTTTTCCCCCTTGCACAAGTGGCACAGAAAGAAATGCATTGATTGCTTCCTCAAGGTCAGACGTGCGACCTCACAACAGGGTTTTGAGGAGAGTTCTAGGGGTAGAAACTGGAGGAAACCCGCACCTCCAAGATACAACATAATCCTGTTAGTGCCTCGGCCCCCTTCTTTCCAGCTCTGAAGTGGTGCAGTTAAACAGCTGAAACAGGCCATAGAGCAGTTTTACAGGGAAGGAGGAGCACGGATGCAACCTTTGCCCTGCATGGAATGTGTGTAAACATCTAAGTTCAGAGGTTTATGGACATCCTCACTGGACAGCATCCTTAGTTCCTGTTTTGTCAAAATCATATTGTTTGATTTGGAACTGAAGTCTTGGAAACTGATACATCTGGAAATGGGAACCTTGGGCATCTTTTGTCACTTCCACTTTCATAGCTTGTTCTTTAAAATCTGAAGATCAACATAGGAATGTAAGATGTTGCCAGATCAACTCATCAGCATTGTGTCCACACAGTGTCCAATCAGCTGCTTATGGAAACCCCACAAGCAAGATGTGAATGGAAAACTACTCACTTGGAATACATTCTTCAGCAATTAGCATACATGGGCGTGCTGTCTTCAAAATACAAGGGATTGTAATGGACGAGCTACAAAGCTCGTACCCTCCAAAGGTCTGGTTCTATGTTTATATGCAGGAGGCAGTTCACCACTTGGGTCAATCACCCCACTGCACTTGTTTTTATCTAAAACTAAGTTTTTATCTGTCTAGTCAACGGATTAGAACAGTCCTTTCCCTGCAATGTCTTGCACTTTTCAATCTTTCACTGGAGCAGGCAACCAGGTGTCTTCCAGATATTTTAGACAACAATTCTCATAATCCCTAACCCTTCAGCATGCTGGCTGGGGTTTATGGGAGTAATCCAAAATATTTTGGAGGGTGGGCAGCCAGGTGGCATATTTTATATCTACGTACACAAGACAGAGACCTACAGTTTAAAAAGGCAACTGTGCCACCTGGTGGCACTTGGAATTACAGTATGATAGCCAAATCTCAGTGTACTTTGCCATGAATCAGCCTTCCCCAAGCTGATGCCCTCCAGATTTGTTTGAACTCTAGGTTTGGGCTGTGAGTGTGAAATAAATCAGAACATCCTTAAATGCATTGGTTTCAGCCACAAGCATGTCAGCGGAGTTTCTCTTTTCCATCTTGGGAGCAACAATACATACATTTTACTTTAAAAATGGGGGTACTCTGAAAGCCAGGAAGCATTTTCTGTACTTTGAAACAAAACAGTATTTTAGAGAAGATTAATCAAACACAAATTTTGATCAGACCATTCACTGAATCCTGAGATCAGACATGGCATTGCTATAGCAACAGGAAGGCCTGGAGGCTAGGAGAGTATTGTTGCGTTGACGCCTTCAGAAAAAGATCAATAAAAGCATGACAAAATTGGAAAAAGTTGCTTTTATTTAAAAATTCAAGATATCATAACTACTAACTTTATACACTGAGTGGACTTTATGTCCACTCCAAATAATGTCATGGGGGAAAGGGGAAAGCATGACAGTGAGAGGCAGGCTATGCTGCACTGTAATCCCCCGTCGCACCCATTCCACACCCTGGTCAATCCTGGTGTTGCGTAACACACTTGATGGCCTTAGTACAAGAGTCCAGTGGGCAAGAGGGCTGCTCCCTCCTCACCAATGCCCAAGCTATCCACACGGTTCTCTTAACTGTAACAGCTGTCCCTTGCCATTCCCATTGCTTTGGTGTTTCCCAAGAGATCCAAGTTACCGTTCTTCTGGCTGCCTGACCCAACAGCTTGAAAGAGCAAAAGAAACATCCATGTCTTAGGCATGTCAGGCCAGAATGTGGCTGCGGACTAGGGAGGCACAATGACAAGGGCTCCTGCCTTGCTTGTGGCTTGCTGCATGCCCTTTTCCTAGCCCTGTGGAAGTATTTGTGGCAGACTTTCTTTGGCGAGATTTGCTGGCTGCAACAACTCTTCTGACTCTGGTCAGGTGCTTGGTCCCAGCACAGCTGCTTGTTCCCCATTTACCAACTAGGCACGTTCCATTTAGCTGGACTACACACAGCAGAGGATGATAATGCAGAAGCATAAAGTTCAGCTAATATGAAATGGTCCCCTTAATTGTTTAAAAAAAAGCCACGGAGGCTGAGTACTGTTATGTAAATATGGGCATGGTAAAAAGGCACTTGAGATGGGTCCTGTCCAGCACAGAGCTACACTAGGCCAGCAGCTTTGTCTTGCACATTGTATTCCTTGTTCTTGGTCAGCTTCCAGCTGATCAGGGATAATAGTAGAATGCCAGCGATTTTGTAGCCCACTTGAAGCCCTAAGTACCTGCAAGAAAGAAAGAAAGAAAGAAAGAAAGAAAGAAAGAAAGAAAGAAAGGGAGATGAAACAAGGTGAAACTTGACCTGTAGAGTTCTTCAGCTGAAAGAGATAAGTCCCTTTGTTTTGGAACAGCAAGCAGAAATAAGTGCAAGTTTTCCAGGTTTTCTTTCTGATACAAGCAAAATAACACTAGAACTTCAGAGCCCAGCTGCCACAAATGCATGCCCAGGAGCTTAGGGAGGGGGAGCAGCTCAGTATGCAGAAGGCCCCAGGTATGGCTGGGAAAATTCCTGCCTGAAACCCAGGAGAGCTGCTGCCAGTATGTGTTGACAGTACAGGACTCGATGGACCCAGGACTGGGCAACTGCCTGGGTTAACCCTTTGTTAAGGCATCTCCCATCCATCCTAGCCATCACAATCAGTGGCTGGGGATGAAAGTAGCTGAAGTTCAGCATACCAGGAAAGCACTAAGATCGGGGAAGATGCCTTAAGAAAAGCAATTCTGGATTTGGGTATGAATTTCTGTTCTTCTCAAGGCAAAAATGGCAGTTAAAAGAAGGAAGTGCTCCTCCTTGGGGGACAGGGAAATAGCTTCTGATCTATTTATCAGAAGAGGAGGCATAGTATTCTCCTTAGGGCATGAAACAGTACAGGAGAGAAGATGGTTGACAGACAACTACTTGTTGATGGGAGTAATCACCGGCTAATACTAACCAGATTCTTCAAAGAGCCTGCAAGGAAATGGAATCAGAAGATTCTCCCAGGACTGGCCCAAGGCATTTAGCTACCCAAGGCAAAGCAACAAGTGGCACCCAGCTTCTCTGAAGCCAAGAAGTAGAGCTGTTTTGGCACCTGATGCAGAAAAGTGCCCCTCCCCCACTACTGCTGGCTGCAAAAATACAATAACATAAGTTAAACCATTTACTGCCTTCTGGGACACCCAAAATCAGGTGCCTGAGGCAGCCAAACCCAGCAAATGTGGGGCTGGCCCTCTCTCCTCACTCTCCAAGTCTCTGCTTACCAAGAATTTGGTAAACAATGAGTTGCAAAGAGGGCTTGGATCCCTATGTGAACGTTGTTCTTGTGACATATCTGTAGAAGACAGAACCATGCCAGTGGGAGGGGCACCAGTTCAAGCAGGCTTCTATGCTCTCCTTCCCTCAAGAGGAACAGATATTTTCAAACAATTCCAAAATTTCTCTCTCTCTCCTTAAGGACAGAAGGGACACTAATGTAATGTAAGAGAAGGAAGAATCTTGCCTTCCGCTTCTTAGCACCACTTCAGATTTGGTTGACAGGATACTTTGGAAGACTAGCCAGCCAAACACTGCCTCTGCTGGAGTGAAAGCATTTTGGTTGGCCTTCCTCAACCAGATGTTCTCCAGATGTTCTGTCCTACAACTCTCACTGTACCCAGCCAGCATGGCCAATGGAGAGGGATAAAGGGACTTGCTGTCGAAGACTTCTGAAGGGATGCAGTTTGGGGAACTCTGGTCAATAAAGTACCAAGTGAAAGAAGGCATCAAGGCCCATGGGCCTGCTCTGTATTTCTTCTCCATATTTCTTCAGAATACCAGGAGGTCATAGAATCTTACAGCATGTGCCAAAATACCCTGTGGCACCTGTAAGGCATAGGGTTGCAGGGTTTTCGTGAAAATATAGGTAAATGTATAGGTACACCTGAGCTTGTTGGAGGAGGAGTGGGATATGAACAGAACTGAGCAATATTGGTGAGAAGAATGCAGTTTGCAAAAGCCCACATCAGAAAAGCCCCAAGCAAACTGAATGGAATCTGCACAGTTGCGCTACCTGCTGCGAAGGAAGTTATTGTCATAGTAAACGCAGGATCCACCATTCTTGTTGCACTCTTTCTTCCACCAGATGCAAGAGGAGTCGATCAGTAAGCCAAAAAGGGCAGGGGCCGGCAACCAAGCTTCAAAAAGAAAGGGAGGGGAAAGGGTAAGGAGGATTCCAAGGTTTTACCTTGCCAGGGAGGCACATCCTGTCTCTCCTGCACTCAGCTGTTCCTGCTCTGAAGGCTTGCAGGGCCAAGTCTGATGTGGAACTGCCTTTTCGAGTCTCTGCCCCAATGGAAGGCGAGAGTCACGCTTATCTCTGAGCCAGGGTTTCAGATCCAAAAAGGATCACCAGACAAGTCACCTATTCATTCATTCTCAGAGATGGCAATTTGCTTAATTAAGAGCTATTTGTAATCCCTTTAAAGCACCTCTTTGGCATAGAAGCCAGCACACCAAGCCATCTTTCACTTGCCCCAGCTTGGTTTGGAATTGGACTTTGCAAAACAAACAATTACCCCACATAGGAAAACAGCTCATTTTTTTTCTCAGCTCAGCAGTAAAATCCCAATATGCTCCTGTTAACCGAATGAATAACCTCAGTACCTCCGTTCTGCATTCCCCATTTCTTCCAACAGAACGGAGGACTTGCAGGCACTTTGCTGTAAGGCCTTCCTCCCTGGTCTCCTGAATTTGGTAATGGCAGTGTCCACACATACCAGAAATCCTGGAAAATGTGGTCTCCCCAGAGAATCTAACTAGGGTAAAATCATAGAATGGTCAGAGCTGGAAGGGGCCTATAAGGCCTTGAGTCCAACCCCTGCTCAATGCAGGACTCCAGGCTAAAGTATCCTTGACAAATGGCTGCCCCACTGCTGCTTCAAGGCCTCCAGCATGGGCCACATTAACAGCTCTGGCAACGCCCAGGATTCCTGGCATCTGGGAAGCTGCTGTTCAAGGTGCCTGGGAGTGAGGTTCACTGGCTTCAATTAGGACGAGGCAGGAGAAGAATTTTAGGGGTAAATGGCATTTCTGTTGCAATGCAACTGATTGTAACAAGTTTGTCAACAAGTTTGTCAGATAATTACAAATTCTGGTAATACCATCAACCGAGGAAGCAGAAATAATGATCAAACTGAACTCCTTGGGAGGAAAGAGGTTGTAATGGAAGCAGAAATAGCACATTCCTGGCAGTCTGAGGCACTGTTGAGTGTAAGGGAACATCTCTATGCCTGTTTGACCTCTATAAGGAGGGTGCTTTGTGGTAGTGGAGAAGTTTAAACAATGGTATCCTAAGCAAGGCTATATGTCATCACCAATTCCACCCAGGCTTACTGACCTTTCCAGAGGGGTATAATTAGTATGCTTTGGCTTTCTTGGGCATCTAATTCCTCTGTTGGATCTTCTTATGGCCCTACTCTTTGATTTCAACTACATAATTCCCTCTTCTTAATGCTTTACCTACTTCTACCTCCATGCTTAAACCACAGTGAGGAACATGTGGCCCTTCAGATGTTGCTGGGCTCTTACCCTTCATCTTCCTTGACCACTGACCATGCTGACTAGGGCTGATGAAAGATGGAATCCTACATATCTGTTGCCCTCCAGGTGCTGTTGGACTTCATCACCACTATTCAATATAGTTAATATTTAGGGAAGATTGGGATTGGTCCAGAAACATCTGTTGCTTACCCATGCCTCTTCTAAAAAATCTCTGATTTGGAAGAAGACAGCCATACCTAAGGCGAGCACTTGCTTATCTTCCCTCAATCTTTCTGCCTTATTTACCCAGATGCAAAGCCTGGACTACAGATTTCAGAAAGGCCAGCTAGTAAATACACTCAGGCAGGCACAATCCTATATTGGTATAGTGTGCATGCTTACTGAAAGGTAAATCCTGCTATGTTACTGGGGCTTTTTCTAGTGTGTTTAGGACCATAGCTTCAGGTGGGCACTCACCTAGCAATCTCATCAATAAGAACTGGAGTCCAATGGCAAATGACTTTTCATCATAGCTCACCACCCTGTACAGGAGCAAAATACAACATATTGATGATGCATGATAATGAGCTCAAAAGCTGCTTATTGCTCTGGCAAAAACCTAAGAAGCTTGACTAGAATTTCAGCTTCATTATACAAAGAAGTAGGGTTTAAAGCTGAAAGGGCATATAACTGTGGCATAGAAGAATATCCTCATGGTGGGACTGCACCCAGTGAAGCTGGGTAAAGGACTTTCCTATTTTTGGAAGATGCAAAAACAGCTTAAGACAGGCACTTGGGATTTAACTTATTTTTCTACCATTTCCATGCAGCTGACAGGTATTAATATTTATAGTTCTTTTGCATGTATTTATTTCACGTGAGTCACCATTTTATGATGAGAAAGCTAGATCACAAATAAGAATAAATATAAAAGCCCAAGGATTCCCTAAGCTTCTTATTGTACTGTCATGGTATCTGGCTCTAGACCAGGGGAGGGGGGCAGTCTTGGAGCATGAACCTGACCTGCTGGGGTTCTCAGATGAATCCTTTCCTCCCAGCCAAAGACCATTTGGTGGCATCCCAGCTTTTGTGCAGGTGTTCCCATCCTGCCACGCCTCTCCAAAGGCAGACTTTCTGCTGCAACAGGCTGGTATTTTGGACTTACCCCTTTGTGTCTGGCTGGCCGTCTTTTGCCTGCCCCCTCACCCACCAGGCCAAAAGAGGTTCTGCATCTGGACCCTGCTTACCGTAACACCATCATGTACAGAGGGTTGTGACACAGGCAGGCAATCAGTGCAGCACATGAGATGAGGACTGTAACAGGCAGCAGCAAATGGGCACAGCTAACTGGGCAGGATCCGGTCTTTGCTGAGTGCTGCCCACTCTTGATACAGGTACAGTTTGTATAGGTCTAGTGGGAGTGGTAGAAGAGAAAGTCAAGCTCATCTTAGGGAATCAAAGACACATGTGAGGGACCACAGCACATACTTTGCAAGCAGAGGAGCCTGTGTACAATCCCCAGCTTCTGCAGTTCAAAAGATCAGGTAGCCAATGACACAAAGCATCTCTTTCTGAGTCCCTGGAGAGCCACTACTGGCCAGAGGAGGCAGTACTGAGTAAGATGGAAAAAATGTGGCATATGTGTGGCAAATGTGAATGAGTTCCTTCAGTTCTTGTGTTTCATGGATCTAACAGTTCCAGTTCCTCCCCGGGCAATGCAGGTACAGTGGTTGCCAAGGAACCAGGGGAATAAGATGCATTGCACAATTGTATCCTGTATTTGGGTGGCATATCTAAAATTACAGATTCAGTTTTAAAATTTGTGGCCCACCCCCTTGAAATATTAGGGTTGGTGTCAATAATTAAAATACAGATACATAGGTAAATAGATTGAAAATAACAAATGCGGATAACCTTATTTCCTATTCTATTTAACAGAAAAAATCCCACCTGGCCATATAGAATATTTTTTCAGGGCTTCCGAAAGACACTGAGATCTGGACTCTGGCACCTCTTTATGGTACATGAAATTCTAATGGCACACAGCTGGCATCAACAAAGAAAGTCCTTAATAGTGCTAGGACTTGTCATCAGAGAAGCTGCCTCTCAGAGATACAGAATATGTTCTTTTCTAGATTAGAAATCTGCATCTTAAATTGTGTTTAAAAATCTGAGATTCTCCCATCCTTACTACACTACTAGAATGTCAAGGAAGGATTATACAGCTGCCTCCCTTGACTTGCTGTCCACTGGATGTTTTAGGCATGTTTTTCCCATCAACCAAAGCCAGCATGACCAGTGATCAGGAATGTCAAGACATCTGGATGTTGCCAGATGGGGGAAGAATGTTATATGGAGTCAGAAGAGTAAGAAGGACTAGCTTAATATCTCCTCTGAATGGGACCCTGTCTTCCACTCTCCAGCACAACTTTCCCCAGTGCTTGATGGAGATGCCTGGTTATCTTGCGATCTAACCTGGAATTTAACTTAGAATCATTTATTGCAAAGGATGCTTTCTCCACCTGAGGGGTGCATCCCATTCCTTGGAGGCTTTATTATTAAAAGACAGGCAACTGAAGCTACTGTGGAGAGTGTGATCAGCCCAAACTGGCTCCCCCAGGCATAAACTTGAGTGCTAAAGAAAAATGAGTGGCCATTAAAAATCAAGATCCTCTTGTTTGTTTGTTTGTTTGTTTATTTAGAGAACTATGCCGTCCCATTTGCCGAAGCCTCGGGGCAGCTCACAATCATAAATAAATAAACACAATATAAAACAGTATAATTTAAGTCACCCTGGCCCAAGAATAAAATAAATAAATAATATTAACAATTAAAATAACACTTGAATAAAAAGGTCTTTGCCTGGTGCCAAAAAACAAATAACGACGGCACCAGGCGGACCTCTCTGGGGAGCGCATTCCATAGATTGGGTGCCACCACAGAGAAAGCCCTCCTCTGAGTACTCACCCTCCTAATATCCTTCACGGAGGGTTCCCGGAGAAGGGCCTCTCCCGCTGATCTCAAGGGGTGGGTGGGCATATATGGACGTAAGCGGTCCTTCAGGTAACCAGGATCCAAGGACCAGGACTCTTACCAGTTGCTAAAAGTATCCACTGATCACACTTACCATGGTCTTGGATATGGAAGAATTAAGGAAGGAGCCAGTACAGCCAGCATGGCAAGGGGAACGGTACTCCACTTGATCATCACCACAGACTGGGTGGAAGAGGTTCTCTGAGCAGGAGCATGCTTTGCTGCATGACTCCTGAGCTGTGGAACTTGATGTACTGCCAGAAAAATATGAGACAGACAAAATAAACTGAAATTAGAAAGGATGGGTGAAAGATACCCTCTTGAGTACATTGGGCAATTAACCTTAGTTTCCTGACCTGCTATTGCTGAGTTCTTGCCATTCTGAGGCCTGGCCTATTGCCTATCTTACCCTCTTGAGATAGCTCATGAGGTTTACCAATGAACTTGGGTCATATTCATACATACATCCAAACCAAACACTTACATACTTTGGGTGGAAAAGCCATGTGATGCCTGGAGTAATCTGCCTGAGGTAAGCCTTTTGATGGGAGCTACTGAACATCCAAAATGGAACAAAGGAAAATACCAATCTAAATAAAACCTTAATTAAAACTGGAAATATTCCAAGTGCAAAGAATATTTCAAGCCCAACATCACATTTGGTAGTAATATACTGACAGCTGCCATCTGAGCCAAACTGTCTCCCTTGACCCAAAACAACTCTACAGTTCATTCTCTGTCCTGTCCACTGAGATTCCTTTTAATGGTAGGTGTCAAGGAATGAAGCTGGAACCAGTCAACTTTAAGTGCATATTGTTTTTTTCTAACACAGAGCTTTTGTCTTGAAAAATTTCAAAGATTGTTTTATATAAATACTTTGCTTGGAGCTCTTTCATGAATGAGAACACAGTTCCATGAATGACTAGGACATCTATTATACCTCAGCTTCTCTAGGCTCTTCAGATTCATGCTCCTGAATGGCCGGCTGAGTAGAGACCAAGATGTTACTTTCATGCCTGAAACCGCTTCACAATTAATTTGAAACTTTTCACAAGTATCAATATATCTGCAACAGCCTTTCCCAGTCTGATGCTCTCCAGGTGTTCTGAAGTACAACTCCTAGCATTTCTGACCATTGACCATGCTGGCTGGAGCCAATGGGAGTTGGTTCAATACATCTTTTTTCATTATAAGAAAAAAGAACAGTCCTGATGGATCAGACTAAAAGCCTGTTTCAGCCTTAACTAATCTAGTGCCCTTGAGATGGTGTTGCTGGGGGTTGTGGTCCAACAGATCTAGAAGGCATCTAGTTGGAGAAAGCTGGTCTATTTGGTCCAGCATGCTGTTTCCATATTGACCAATCAAATAACTCCAAGATGCTCAAGAACCAGCTCTGAAGGCAACCTCATGCTGTTACCCCCAAATATCTTCTGTCAATCAACTGTGTACCTTTGAACTGGGTGGTTCTATTTGACTATCAGGACCAATAGCCTTCCATGAATTTGGGGAATCCCCTTTTACAGTCTTCTAAGCCAATGGCCATCAATACTGTTTATGTCAAGGAATTCCACAATTTAAAATTACATACTGTGTGAATAGCCACCCAGAAAAGTCCATTCCAAAAAAGAATGTAGCATCCAATGGCTCAGGGGACAACTGGAAGCTGAATAAGGAGCAGGAGGCCCTTTTGCTTTGGACATCACCTTATTCAAAATAAGTCACTAACATACAGGTTCCACAGCCTATAGCAGATACTGACAACTCCATGAACAAGGAGAAAAGCAATATGGGCTCAAGTTTCTGCTCTGCCAAAAGAATACTGGACTCCTTAAATAAAAAGAAACCATGAAAAGGTCTGGAAGAGAGAAGGATAGAGGGAAATACTGAATCAAAAGAGAAGATAAATTAGAGAGCCAGTGTGGTGCAATGGTTAAGAGCATGGGACTGGGACTCAGGCAATCTGGGTTCTAGTCCCCGCGCAGCCATGGAGCCAACTGGGTGACTTTGGGCCAGTCACAGACTCTCAGCCCAACCTCCCTCACAGGATTGTTGTTGTGGGGATAAGATGGAGAAGGAGAATGATGTAAGCTGCCTTGAGCCCTTTGTAGGAAAAAGGCAGGATATAAATCAATCAATCAATCAATCAATCAATCAATAAAATTATTTGGATGATTTGGGAATGGATTGTTGGAAGAATTGAAAGGTGCAAAGAGCAACATCTCTGTGTCCATGATGTTAGAGCTGTTTTGAGTCTACATTCTGGGTTTTCTGCACAGTGTTTATGGAGAACACAGCATTATTACCTGCCAGAATGAATTTCAGCCAGTTTCTGTGTGGAGCAGCCCATAAAGAAGAGAGGGAGGCAGCAGAGTGTGGAGATAAGTAGGACCACAATGGCGAACCGAGGAATGGCTTTAAGGGAGAAACCAAAGCGCTTCATGAGGAGACCACCAAAGAGCATTCCTAAGGCAGCCGCCGGCAGATTTATAGCTCCTGCAACATGTGGGAAAAAGAGGCATTCATATTCAGCAATGGGAGGCACTGCTCCGCAACTATTTTATTTTGTTTTGCAACAGAAAGAAGTCAACCATATAACTAGCACAGAGCGCAACTGCATACTCTTCTGCATGGCATTTATTTGCATAAAGCAGGGACTCACACTGCCTTGGGGGTTGCTCCACAGATGATGGCATCTGTTGAAGCAAAAAGTCTTTCTTTTAGGAGTTTGTATGAAACTTATCCATGGATGTCTATGTGCCGAGAGGCCTGCAAGTTTCCAGAGGGAGGACAGTCCACCATGCCAGGCAGAAGTGGTCTGTGGGCTACTTTGATTAATCTGAGGTTTTGTTTTAAAAGTCCACTTGGAGGACTTTTAGCTGATAACTTGATATATGTGTGTGTATGGATGATACCAACCATCACCACTGCTTCACAGTTGCCCACACAGCCTTTGACAAACTACACTGCTATGATCAGAACACCTTCCTCAATTATATAATTTTTGACTCAACAGCAGTGGGAAACACAGCTCTCAATACCCACAGATCAAATTTTACCCTCACTTTCCTAATCATTTTCGGTGCCCTCAGTTTCATGTGTTAAAGGGGCATCTGCTCCTTCCACTGGCAGTACAGGTAGGTTGAATGTAGCCCATGGATGCTTGCCTGCTTCTGGACTTCTCTTCACCTCCATCAGAGGTCTAAGTCACAATCAAGTGGACCACAGATGGTGGGTAGGTTGTCGCAATTAACTGAATCCACAGCCTTGGAGAAGTGTAGCCAAATGCCCTATCTACCTGGCCATAAACTGGTTCTGAGGAAGTTGCAGCCACCTAGCTTAGGGCAGGTCAGGCTAGACCTGACTGGTAGACAACCATTACAATGCCCTTACCAATGAGGAAGTTTGCATAGGAAGAGCTGGTACCAAACTGCTTCTCCAGGAACTTGTTGAGGAAGGTTGAGAGGCCAGCAATGACTGAGGAGAAACTGCACTGGGCTATGACCAACAACATGAATAGTGGATTGAGGAGCAGCCTTAGGAAGCCTCGGGGGAATTCTGAAAGCAAAAACAGGAGAGATAGGGAAAAGCTCTCATAATCAACAGGAACAACAGACAGCAAGTTTAACAACAAAGCACTAAACATAACCTTTCTGTTGGGTTATTGCAGAATCCTGCTAAGAATGACAGTTACCTAAGGAAAGACCCTGCAATTCTGTCCTCCTCGGGAAAGATTCTTAAGCTATACTAACAGGGCACTCATTTCGAAAGTCACTTATCACTTTGCTATGGTGTGTGTGGGGGTGTGTGTGTGTGTGGCGCAGACCAATGTTAGTTGTATAGTTCGAATTATTTGAAAGCAGACCCATAGTTGTCTAAAGCATACAGCCCACTCCATCCCACAAGAGTATTAAGACCAGGATCTAAGATTATCGAGCTGCACCACTGCATAGAACCCTATGCCAAGCAGTCATCTTACTACAGTTTGCAACGATCCTCGTGCTAAATTAGTTGGATAGATTGATGCAGATGGCCGTTTTGCTACACATCTGCATCTGATGTGCTATTAAAGCTTGGTAGGATGCAGCACGGGCTGCAGACTCTGATCTCAGTAGGGATCCTTAACCCATTGCAGTTTTTACTCTGCACTTCATCAGAGCTACCCATGGTAGTGAACCTAATAGGAGGGTGAGCTTAGCAACATGGATAGCTCCTAAAAGGTCAGAATAAAGACTGTGAGGAATAACAGATTAAGGAACTCCACTGGCCTCTCTTGGCAGGATAATATCGATGATCAGGCTGTCCCAACCCCATCCCATTTCTTTTTCTTATCATACTTCTACACCGAATCCAATACTTAGTGGCAGTAGAGAAAGAGAAGAGATTAACTTCACCTCATGCAAAGCAATGTAAGCTTACAGTGGTCATGGTAGGTTATCTCTTTCTTTATGGCCACCTGTATTTACCAACATTATGCCAATTGTTTGACCTATTTATTTTTTACCAATTTGTTGGGGGGCATGGGAAAGCACACCTGCTAATTGTGGGAAGGAGTGAGGACTTCAATGAAGAGGAAGAAGAGGGTTGTGGTGCTGTGTGTGCCCTTTATTTTATCCTGTTCTCTCCTCACACCCTCTCTGATTGCCTGGGCTTTCCCAAAAAGCCCCTAGAGGACTTATCTTTGGGGCTTGCTTGTGCTACTGAGTCAACCTAAAAGCTGACTGTGGAGCACTTTTACTGCTTCTCTTCTTGTAGCTTAAGGGACTTTAACAAGAAAACCCAACCTAAAATGCTTGACTCAGGCATAAACAACTGTACTGGAGAGCCCCTGGGGAGAAAGTCCTGGTTAAGTCTTCTAGGGGGCTTTTCAGAAAGCTCAAACAGCCATAGAGGCTGCAAGGACAGAATAAAATTCAGCCTTGCAGGACTGGAAACAGGATTCATCCAGTCCAGCATTCTATTCATGCACTGAACAAGCAGCTGCCCACGGGAAATCACTGAGCAGCACAGGAGTGCAATATCATCTTTTTACCCATGTTTCCTAGGGACCAGTGTACATGAGGGTACGGCATCCGATTCTGCTGCCAGGACTAGCCGCTATCGACAGCCTTTTCCTTCAGGGAAAACGGGAATTTGTTCAATCCCACTTTAAAGCTATCCAATTTGGTGGCTATCACTACATCCCATGGAAACAAATTCCATAGTTTGAGAAGGTGCTGTGTAAAGAAGTACTTTTTGTTATCTGTCCTGAATCTCCACCAATCAGCTTCATGAGATGACCCCGCATTCTAGTATTATAAAAGAGGGATAAAAATGTTCTAAAAAAAGGAGAAAATGTCTTTCTAAAAATTCTTATCCATTTATATTAGTAGTTTTGATTTCTTGCCCAAATGCACATTACTTAACACCTGCTTGTACTGTACCACATTTGCCATTTTGATACCCATTTTCCCTGTTTGGTGATATCTTCTTGGCACTTCTAATAAATTGTTTTTGTTTTAAGCATCCTGAATAATTTGGTGTTGTCAGCAAACATGCCCATTTCACCACTCACCCTAAGTCCTGATCTTTTCTAAATTAGTTGAAAAGCATTGGTCCCAACAGAGATTGCTGCGGGAAGCTAGTATTTACATTCCTCCACTGGGATAATTTAACATTTATTTCTCCTCTCTGTTCTTTAGCCAATTACTGATCCATAAGTGGACCTCACCAATAATCATTCTATGACTGCTAACTTTGCTCAGGAGGCCTTGATGCGAGACTTCCGAATGAACAATGTTTACCAGATCACTGTTGTCTACATGTTTGTGGCCATTCTCAAAGAACTCTCAAAGGTTAATGAGATGGGCCTTACCTTTATGGAAGCCATACTGATTCTGTTTCAGCAGGGCATATCCCTCTGTATGCTTACTAATTTTATCTTAACAGCTGCACTCAACCAATTTTCCTGGAACAGACATTAAGCTAAACAGCCTGTAATTTCCCAGGTCCCCTTGAATCCCCTTTTACAAACTGGTGTTGTATTGACCATTCTCCTGTCTGGTACAGGACAGATCTTAGGGAAATGCTACTTATTGTTGTTACTAGATCAGCAACTTCACATTTGATTTGCTCTAAAATGCCATCTGGCCATGCTGACTTAGTATCTTTCAATTTGTCAGTGAGTTGGAGAACTTCTGTAACCCCTATTTGCCTCAGTTCTTCAGACTCCCTTCCTGAAAACTTCAGTTGAAGCACAAGTATCTATTCTCTGTCTTCTGCAGTGAAGACAGAGGAAATGAATTCATCCAGCTTCTCTGCAATCTCTCAATCCCTCCTGAAACATTTAGCCTGCTTTTCACATGTTGCAGCAAAATTAAAATGAGCTTTGGTGCAGAATGAAAAGAATTGTCCTGAACAATTCCCTCTTTGGTGTCCGGATGCTGTTCAAGGAGCCAGCAGGGAACCAAGCAATCAAGCCTGACTCTGCATCCATTTTAGGGAGAAAGCAGACTGGGCTGGCTTTGTATTTATAGCATCCTGCTGTAGCAGACAGTCATCAGCAGTTGCCTCTGAATTACCACTTTATGGGGAACAATGGGAGAGGGTTGTTGCCCCCATGCCCTGCTTGTGGGCTTCCCAAGAGGCATATTGTTGGCTACTATGAAATGTTGAACAAGACAGGCCTTGGTTCTGATCCAGCCAGGTTTCTTATGGGAAAGAAATTATGAGATACAGTTAAATATAACAGGGCTATAAGTGGCTAAACTGGTGCACTTTAGATACACCTAACAGGCTAGCAATTTAAAAGCCTTTCAGAAGAATCTAGACAAGTAGTTCATGCTGAACTGGCAGAGATAACAGATGGGTGCAACCATGGATACTAAGGGATTTTTTTTATTTCTCTGAACTGATCTTTTGTTGCAGCATGGCTTTCATAGAGAAAAAGCTGAAAGGCAGAATGAAAACACTTTACTTTTAATAAAATCCACCAGAGATCCTTCCTGTTCCTTAGCTTTTTCAATCTTCTTCATGATGTCCACCTCAGACGTTACCTGCTGAAGAAGCAGAGAGGACAGTTTTTGTAAGTTGGATGGTTGTGGTAGTGGAAAGCAAGCAGACAAAACTCTGAGTGTTGTTCAGATCAAAGGGGGAACTCCTAGGAACTATTCCAAAACCATTTGCAGCTCCAAGGCTGGAGCACTGTCTCTTCAGATTCTGTCTACGGGTCAAAGGATTGCACACTGAATGTGAAAACTGTATGGGCAAACCAAGTTGCATTTAATGCATTTTATGACTAGAATTCTCATTGTTCCTGTGCAACATGGCCTAGAAGGCTGATCTATGCTGTTGTGGGGTTAAAGAATGAACAACCAATGGAAATGAAAGAATGCTGCTTTGGGTGCCTGTGGCTGGCTGGCTGGCTGGCTGGCTGGCTGGCTGGCTGGCTGTCTCTCTCTCTCTCTCTCTCTCTCTCTCTCTCTCTCTCTCTCTCTCT